GCCCAGCCCACCAGACAGGCTGAGTAGGTGAGGAATTGTTACTACAGGGTAGGTAAGTGCAGACTGGAGCTGGGTGTGGCGGTGCAGGCCTGTAATCCCAGCACTCTGGGAGGCCCAGGCAGGAAGGTCTCAAACTCAAGCCCAGGTGACTGCATGACAGCAAAACCCTGGCTCAAAATAAAAATAAAAATTAAAAAGGGCCAGGGATGCAGGTGAGTGTGCAAGTCCTGGGTTTAGTCCCTGGTACTAAAAACAAAACAAAGCAAAGCAGTGCAGCCTGCGTTGATGCTTTGCTGCTGTCCTACCAAGCTCCCTGTGTGCGTCAGTGTGGCTGGCTTTGTACAACTGCCTTTTCCCAGACAGGGTCGGGGGACATCAAGGAGGCCAGGGAGGCTGGCTGCGGGGCCAGCTGACCAACCCCTGCCCGTCAGACCATCCTTCACCCGCCAGCCCCCAGGTGACCCGGGCGACAGGCCCTCTCACAGGCGGGGTGCGTGTGTGTGAAGTGACCTGGGAGGGGTTCAAGTTGCAGGTTCCAGGGCCACAGGTGACAGCAAGTCCTAGCTGGTCCACTCGTTGCAAATAAATTACGGGGTGTGGTGGTGCCTGCCTGTGATCCCAGCACTCTGGGAGGCTGAGGCAGGGTGATCGCAAATTGGAGCCCAGCCTGGACAATTTAGCAAGACCCTGTCTCAAATACAAAGGGCTGGGCGTGGAGCAGTGTGTGGAAAATGTGGAGTGAAGCTGGACTGCACCTGGTGGTCTTTATCCCGCTCCTCAGGCCTGGCCTTGCCTGGCCTGGGGAAGCCCCAGATGTCTTTCCTGCCCGGGCTCCCTGCAGCCAAGAGCAGGGTGTTCGGGATTTTCCTCCCTGCAGCCAAGAGCAGGGTGTCCGGGATTTTCCCCCCAAGGCTCAGAGAACAGCCACCGGCAGGGGACACGGGGCCTCTACCTCCCACATGCCCAGGATCCAGGTACAGTGGCCAGGAATCTCACTATGGAGCACAGGCTTGACTTAAGCTCTGGACCCCCCTGCTTCAGCCTCCTGAGTGACAGATCTGCCTTAGAACAAAACCTTTCACATTCAGTAGCAGCACAGCCCAGGGACAAAGACCAGGACACTCGATGGGACTGCATTGTCGGACGCTTGTCCTCTGTCCCTGGAGAGACCTCAGAGGCAGCTAGCTCCTCAGAGCAAAGTCACTGCCGGCCTGGTGGTGCCCACGGCCTCCCCTGCCCACAGCGTGGCCAGTCGTGGGAGGCACTGGGGCCGCTGGACCCAGCCGCAGGCCACGCTGCGTTCTCCTGGCAGCAGTGCCTGCCTGTTGGGTGATCTGGAGTCAGGATCCAGACACCCTTGCCTGCAGACTGCGGGGCACGGGGCACAGGGGACCTCATGTGCGTGGGTGGGGGCTGCTGTCCCTGAGGGCGGCACTGCGGGATGAGCTGGGCGCGGGGCTCCAGGCTCAGGGCTAGGAGCAAGCGGGGTGGTGGAGGCCGGAGCTTGGAGCAAAGGTGGGGCCTCTGGAGACCCCACCAGGCTGACCCTGCCCGGACCCCTCCAGCTCTGGAGGCGGGAACGGGTCTGCGCTTCCTCCTGCCCCCTCTGCCGGAAGTGGGGATGTCCCCGCAGCGCCAGTGATAGCGCTGAGAATGCGGCATGACCCGGTGCCCTTCCCAGGCAGACAGGCGCGACACTCCGCGGCTGGCCGCGTCTAGACAGTGGAGCGCTGGCATCCCCTGCGGGGACGCGGCGACAATTTACAGCCCTGGGGCTGCGGGCGGCGGGCGGCAGAGCCGCTCCCGACAGTGCGGGCGCGCGTGCGAGCGCAGGGACGGATGCAGGGGCCGCCACGGGCCGCCGCGCTCCGTTCAGGCGTGGAGAAGGGGATTCTCATTTCCCTTTTGTAATTCTGCCCTAAAAATTGTCCTTACTGTGAACAGGCGGCGTGGGGGCATATTTTTTAAAGGATCTTTTTTCTTTTTGTTTTGTTTTGTTGAGACAAACAACAAAATAGCCCAGAATAGCTTTGAACTCATAGGTGATCCTCCTGCCTCAGCCTCCCAAGTTTTGGGATTATAGGCATGCCCCACCACGACCGGTTTCGAAAGTTATTTTTTATAAAAGAACAAATACTGTATGACTCTGCCTCCCCGAGGGACTTGGGGCACTTGTAGTCATAGAGACAAAGTAAAATGTGGCTGCTGGGGAAGGGGAGGAGCTGTCACCGCAGAGGGACAGGTTTCGGTTTTGCAAGGTGGGAAAGTCGGGGGTGGACGGTGGTGATGGCTGTGCAACCACACACAGTGCTCAGTGCTGCTGGCCCACGGCTTGGAATTGCTGCAGAGGTCTCCGTTCACGCTCCGTGTGTTTTATGAACATATAAAGCATATTTAAGGGGGCTGGGGATGTAGCTCAGCGGCACAGCGCCTGCCTGGCAAGCCCAAGGTCGAGAGTTCAATTCCCGGTACCAGAAAAAAAAAAAAACCAAACAAATAAACAAACAAAAAAAGCATATTTAAAAAACCACCCCACCTGGGCACGGCGGCACACGCCTGTACCCCGGTACTCTGGGAGGCAGAGGCAGGAGGATTGCAAGTTTGAGCCCAGCCTGGGCAGTTCAGCAATGTAAACAAATCCTCCTCAACTTTGTACAAAAGGGCTGGGATGTAGCTCCGCATGAAGCCTGGGTCCGATCTCCAGCAGCAAAACAGAAACAAAGAAAGCAGCCCCAGGCACAGGGAGCAGAGCTGGGAGGGGGCACGACCGGGCTTCTTGGCGTGAGTGTGTGTGTGCACACGAGCGTGTGTGCGCGTAGGTCTCTGGTTCGCGTGTGAACCTGGCCTCTCCCCAGCCTCCGCCCTCGAGGAGTCCAGGCCGTCCCTGCTTGCCCTTCTGGGACGACGTCGTGACCCGCATGACCAGCCTGCCCCCTGCACGTTAGCTCTCGCTCCTCCGTGGAGAGATGACAGGAAGTGGGGGGAGGCGGGGCCCCACCCTGAGAGGCTGAAAGGGTCACATGGCCTGGGAGAGGCTGTCCCTTGAGCTGTTCCCGAGAGCAAGAGTGGCCCGGAAGAGGATGGCACAGCTGAGGGAACAGCCGAGGAGGCCAGGCAGGGGGCACTGATCCCCTGGGGTAGGTGGGAAGGGACAGGGACTGGGACAAAGAATCCAAAGGGGGCACTTGGTGAGTGGACCAGGCAGGGCAGACGCAGCAGAAAAACACACCACAGGCCGGGCGTGCAGGGAAACCCGCAGGACACTCTTGAGGATGGCTGAGGGGGCAGCTCGCTGCATGCTCCATCCTCTGTGAGAGGAATGTGAGCCGGGCGCAGTGGCCCACACCTGTAATCCAACACTGGGGAGGCTGAGGCAGGAGGATCGTTTCGAGTTTAAAACTAGCCTGGGCTACAAAGTGAGCTCAAGGCCAGCCTGAACTGCATAGTGAGACCCTGCCTCAAAAAGACAGGAAAAAAAAGAGAGAGAGAGAGAGAAAAAGAGCTGGGAACCGTCAGAATCAAAATGGAGTCACCCATGCCAACCCTAACGAGGACAGTACACGAAGCGGGTCTGGAGGAAGCAGGCTCCTCCCCCACTGTCTGATGGTAACCGAAGACGCGCCGCAGCCTCGAGCTTTTACCGCGGCCTCTGCGACTTCAGCGAAAGCACTTCAAGGTCAGTGGCACGGCTGCTGTCTGTTCACCCTGGCCCGGAGCCACCCTTGCTGCTCATCACGGTGCCCCAGGCTTGTGGCTTCAACCTCATTTCTGTCTAAAAATTTCCCCTTGCTAGGCGTGGTGCCGCACACTTGTCATCCCAACACTCAGGAGGCTAAAGCAGGAGGATCGCTGAGTTTAAGGTCAGCCTGGGGTACAGAGCAAGACTTTGTTTAAAAAAAAAAGCATGTTTTTCATATTCGGGAACTCTCCATACAGATACTTCAGCCAAGGGCTCAGATCAGGGCCTAGGACGGGGATGGGGGCATGCCCGGCCCAGGACAGGGCCAGGAGAGATGGTGGCCACGCCCCGGAAGTGGAATGCGCCTGCCCTCTGACCTCTGGAGAGACCAGAAGGGGGTGGTCACTTCACCGGCATCTAGAGCTCAGACAGGACCTGGCAGGAGGTGGTGACAACGTTGCTCCTGCTAGGCCTGGTCATGGTGACACGGCATCCCTGGCATTCGCAGGTGCCGGGCACTTTGCGTGCCGCAGGGTCTCCGTAGCCCGGGTGACAGACAACACTGTCTCAGAGCTGCAGTCGCCCCGGCCTGGCGCACCCCAAGCCTTCGCCAGCCTCTCACACTGCTTGGCTCAGCATCCGGGGCCTTGGCGCTGTGCTGGGGAGGGTGGAGGAGGACGCAGGGCGCCCGTGGGCAGGAGGGTCATGGGGAAGCCCAGAGCCGGGCTACGGGGTCCGAGGCTCGCAATCTGCCCCCCGGGTCCCTGCAGTAGGCACGGCGCCACGTGCGCTTTGGCCGGGGCTCTGAGTGGCCAGACGGGGCTCCCCGCAGTGCCCGCGACACGGCGACCCTGGCCGGGGTGCTTTCACAGGTCCCTCGAGTCCACCGCAGCCCCACAGCCCCTCGGGCGGAGATGCACACCGGGCTCCTAGGCACACGGCGTGCACGGCCTGGGAGGTCACCGCGGGGCCCAGGCTCGCCGGAGAGGGCCCAGGCCCTGCGCAGACTGAAGGATAGGAAGTGGCGGGTGGTACTCCGTGACGGCTCCGTGTGCCAGGCGGGGCCTCAGACCCACCCTGGTGCCCAGCGTGAGCGGCTGCTTCGCAGCAAGCCCTCCTCTGTCACGGCCTTGGCATGTGGGCGTGGGCACGACAGCCTCCCGCCAAGATCGGGCATGGCGCACGCCGGTCATCGGGACTTGGGAGGCTGAGGTAGGAGGGTCACCGTGATTTCAAGGCCAGCTTGGGCTACAAGGTGAGACCTTGTCTCCAAGAAAAAAAAATCTAATTATGAAATGTAAACAATAAAACTTTTAAAAAATGAAATTCAAGACAGGGATGTGGTTCAGTGGTAGAGACAGCTCTTGCCGTGTATGCATAAAGCCCTGGGTTCAATCCCCAGAACCGCAAAAAATAATAATAATAATAATTGTGCCAAATAAAAGGAGCCGTACAAAAAATGATGTGATTAAAAGAAATGAAATTCAGTAAACAAGGGTCCTGAAGCTGTAAGGCATTTGGCAAAGGAGGCGTTACGGGGCTTGCTCGGGCCTGGAGCAAGGACTTCCATGCCCAGTGTGCTGCTGGTGAAAGGGGTCAGAAGCCCCATCCTAACACGAGAACTGCAAAAATTTAAAAGTCTGGGGCAGGGAAACCTTCCTTCCTTCCTTCCTTCCTTCCTTCCTTTCTCTCTCTCTCTCTCTCTCTCTCTCTCTCTCTCTCTCTCTCTCTCTCTCTCTCTCTCCTTTCTTTCTCTCTTTCTTTCTTTCTTTTTCTGTGGTACTGTGGACTGGACTCAGGGCTTGTGCGCGCTAGGCAAGTGCTCTACCACTGAGTCACATCCACAGCCCCAGGGGAATCTTCCTTAAATGCAAATGTTCATGTATATAAGGAAACCAGAATAAAGCGGAGCTATTTTAGTGGTGTGTGAGGGCAGCCCCCTTGCATGCCTCCTATGACGGGGAGCTCACCCCCTTGATGAGGCGCCGGCTTGCTCCTCCACTCCCCACTCTGTCTGGGCTCCCAAACAGCCCTCCATGGAAAGATGCAGAGCACAGGCAGAGCTGTGCCCTGTTCTGACCCGGCTCTATCCCTGTTTGCTGCACAGCCTTGGGGATGTCACTGCTTTGTGCCTCAGTTTCCTCCTCTAACGGTGGACCAAGCTGTTGGGCTTCTGGTAGACAATGCTCACTAGAAACACCCCATGCCCTAAAAACCCAGCCTCATGCCCTAGGTCCTCCTGCAGGGAAGGCAGGAAGGGCAGATGGGGCCCACGGGGCCTGGCCATCCCATTCTCCGACTCTGGGCAACCCAGCCCCGGCACTGCCTCAGAGCCTCGGTTTTCCTGGGGCTGCTGCGGAAAACTTTGGTTAACAAGAGTGGTTTCTGCCCCGGAAGCTCTCAGCCAGGACCATGGCCACCTTGTTCTGCCCACCCCCCCCGGCATGTCCCGTAAAGAGCAGACCCATGTATTGGGGACCTGGTGAAAAACCCCGTTCTAAGGATAGGAACCTCAGATTCATTTTTCTGTTTTTGAGATAGGGTGTCGCTGTGTAGTTTAGGCCTTGAACTCACTATATAGCTCAGGCTAGCCTTGAAATCATGGTGATCCTCCTGCTTCAGCCTCCCAAGCGCTGGGCACACAGGCGTGGCCACCATCACACCCCACTGGAACCTCAAATACTAATCTGTGAAATGGGGATGACAGGGTCCTAGGCCCCTGGGACTCCCATCGCGATAAAAGAATAAGTAATTTGATGTTGATAATTTAGTAACAAGGACGAGCTCTCCGATGCTGGTGGCAGACCCAGCCACCTGCTCCCTGAGGACCTCGACTGTCTCTTCTGCATCTCCCCCAGCCTCACTCCGGGCTGGAGGCTGGAACCCAAGGGACAGATGCGCATTCTCACCGAGCGTCCCTCTGGACCAGAGCTCCCTGAGGCCCCAGCCGCACCCCCTTGGGAACAAAGACACTCCATTCACAGCTCATGTGTCACTCTGCCCGAGACCCCGACCTTTCCTCCTGAGTGAGGAGCTACCAGGGAAAGGTGAGCACCGAGGTCCCCAGACGGTGGCCAGGTGGGGGCCGGGTGTCAGCCCTGGGTGGAGGGGACGCCTTGCCTTCCATGTGGGTCCCGTGTAGCGGCTGGCGTGGGGCCATGCTGCAGTGAGAGGGGCTGGTGGCTGAGCCTACGTAGCAAACCCACAGCTGCCCCCTCCAGCCACCTCCAGGAGGGAGCAGGTGGAGACTCGGGGTGCGGGGGTCCCAGACCAGTCCCTGAGTCCCCAGACCCCACTGGAGAATCCTGGGCAGTTCACAGTGTCCCTGAACTGCGTGTGCTTGGGAACACTTGGGGACAGCTCAAATCACCGCCTATGAATGGCCTAGGAACAAGGACCCAACGGTGGGCAGAGGTGAGCAGTGACGCCTGGCTCCAAGACACCCTTGCGGTTACCGCTGCCAGCGCCAGCTCCCTCGAGGTTGCCTCCAGGCCTCGGATTCTTTGGGGAGAGCCGGGGGTGCAGGGACCCCTGCCTGCATCCCAGCTCCGGCCCCCCCTCTTTCTGGGGCGCCCTTCCTGCCTAACCTCATTAGCTTGGTCCAGCGGTTTTCCAAGGGCCTGGCTGCTGGGGGCGGGGCTGGTGCCCCCAGGGGCCTGGCGGCCCAGTGGCAGGCGGGTGGCGGGCACACTCACCCAAGAGCAAGTTCATGAGCACCTCCTGGCCGGCCAGCGTGCTGCTCTTCACCAGACAGAGGATGGTGCCCCCGATCCAGGGCACGCCGTGGCCCGTGATGCCGATGAGCTTGACCATGGAGCGGGCGCTGGCCCAGGACGCGGCGCGGCCGGCGCACACACCCAGCCGCTTGGACATGCAGATGTCAATGGCCAGCAGGGAGTTGAAGGCAATGCCCTTGAATGAGGGGTTCAGCTGCATGCAGTCCTCCTCGGGCAGCTGCTGGGACTGGCGGCGCTCGCGGGGCCCCTCGCTGGCGGGAGGGGGCTGTGCCGAGGGCCCGGAGGCCTTCCTGGCTGAGCTGCGGGGCTCCGGGGTCCCCTTGGGGGGTTGGCTCAATGACAGGAACTCGGCCCGGTTAAGGACATTGTTGCGGTCCCGGGCACGGGCCCGGCTCTGGGAAGCTGGCATGCTGTCCCTCCCTGCTCGATCACCCCGAGAAAGCCAGTGCCAGCCTGGCTCCGAGGGCCTTGTCCTGCAAGACAAGGGCCGCCCAAGCTGCCACCGTCGCCCGCCTCCCTGTCTTCCCTGCGGCAGCTGTTAAATATAGACAAGAGGACTGCACATGGCTGTTTACCTCCGGCTGTCACCCGGCTCCTCGCGGACGTCAGTGGCAGCTGGGCAGCCAATGGAGCCCACCCATACAGGCCGGCGCCAGTGCACCCACAGGGAGGTGGAGGAGTCCAGGGCCTCCTCTGGGCTGCCTGGGCCTGGGCTATTTAAATCTGCCAATGGCTGCCCCTGGGCTCTGAGGGACTCTGGGAAATGTAGTCCTGATGCTCTGGCCTCAGCTGCGGCTTTGCCTCTGGCCCAGGCAGAGATGTGCCCTGGGTTGACACCACTTTTGGCAGCTGCCCCCCAAGCTGTCCAGACCCCTGGGAGCCCAACCTGCTACCCGCCTCTGGGCAGTGTGGGCCCGGCAGGGCTGTGGCCCCAGCAGTGTGGAGTCCCCCTCCCCTCAAGGCCTCACTAGGCACCTGCCGGATGGAGTTCATGACGTCACCAAGAGCATCATATTCTGGTCCCTGGGGCCAGGCCAGCTCCTCTCTCTGTGACAGCTTTTCATTAAGCTGGCAGGCTGTGCTTGCTTTCTTTTTTAAATCCGTCTTGAATTTGGGGTAGTGCAGCGCAGTCCAATTGAACGGCAATATGCGAATTTGATCTCTGTGACGGGGGTAATTAATTGGATGGTAATGGATCCTGTTCCAGCACTCTCCGAGTTTTGCAAAGGGCAGAGGCACTACGATAGCTTCAGGCAACCCAGAAATAGTTCCAGGGCGCCTGGCACTGTGCCGGAGCTGAGCAGGCGGTAGACGACGGAAGCTCGCAGCTCGGGGCCGGGAAGCTCACAGCTCAGGGGCCGCACAGGTGTGACATAAATGACTGCACCTGTGCTGCAGGACCTGGGAGTTGTGGGGGGCAGGCAGCTGGAGGGAACGGGGGCTTGCCCCCTGGGAAGGACTGCGACCCCTCTGCCAGATGAACGGGGTCAGGGGAACCGGAGGCTGTAGCCCAAGAGGACAGGCTGAGGGGACCCTGCTGTGCATCTGGGACTTGAGACAGGCCTCCCTGCAGATAGCTGGGTGACCTTTTAGGGTTACCCCAGGCCTGCCTTGCAGCCTGAAGGACCTGGGGCTGCCTGGTGCTGTGAGTCCTTGAGCAAGTCACACCAGGGCTCTGTGCCTCAGTTTCTCCACCTGTGCTATGGACATAATAGTGTGCACCTCTGAGGGGCAGGAGGCCCAAGGAGATGACGTTTGTAAAATGCCAAGCAAGGTCCCTGCCACCTAGAACCTTCAGCCTCTGGGTTAGGAACTGATTTCATCGGATGCAGAGAACAGGGTCCTCTCTCAGAGGGACAGGGCCCTGTGGGCTGGCCCCCGCTGCACCCCTGGCAGGGCGAAGCCAGAGTCCAGGCAGGCTCAGTGTAGGGTTCGCTGCACCCGCTGCAGGGTAGACCAGGCGAGGCAACCCCATTCCTCCGCTTCCTCTCCCACCCAGCGTGAGCAGCCGCCCGAGGCCCTGACATGCTTCCCATCCTCCTCCTGGGGGTGGCAGTGGCCATGTGCACACAGTGTGGGGACCAGGCTGCCCTAAGTAGCAGGTGTGACATCTCTATCCTACAGATGAGGAAGCTGAGGCTTGGAGGGGCGAAGGCGTCCAGCCAGGAAACCAGAAAGAACAGACATCCCACTCCTGCACAGGCCCCCAGGTGGGCACAGGTGGGCCTTGCACTCAGCTTCTTCAGGTCGTGGGGCCTGGAAGTGTTCGCTGATCTCCTGGCCAGCACGCTTCCCTCACCGTCCCTGGGCACAGCCATGACCCTGGCTGGCCTTAGCGGGGCGAGGAGCCTGGCCTGGATGGGACTATTAATACCCAGAGGCCTGGGTCAGCATTTCTGTCTAGCCAGAGCAGCCAGCAAAAGCTGGGGAGGCCCCTGAGGTCTGGTTGAGCTCCAGCCCAGGGGTGCAAGACATGGGCTCTGGGGAAGACCACAAGAAGTCCTCCCGCCCTGTCTGGCCTCTGTGTCCCCTTTCGAGGGCTGGTAGGGGGGAACTGCATAACGGCTACACACATTCCCCTGGGACCTGGGACCCGATGCTGCTGCCTTTTGGGGCAACCCTGGTTACCTGTAAGCTGGGATGACTCTGGTTACCTTCTCAGGTGGCTGAGATATGAGGACAATTCTTCATTTATACCCCCCCAAGTGCCCACCATGGCCACAACCCTACTTCTCAAGATCTAAAGCTTCATTCATTCATTCAATCAATGCTTTCATTGATCTCTTCCTACAGGCTAGTTGAGGAGATGGGATATGCTTCTCTGGAATAACAGGCTGGTTTATCAAACAGTACAACCTTAGCCAACATCTTCATTTTTCCTTACTAGCAAAATGTTACTACTAGCTGGGTGTGGGGGTACATGCCTGTGATCCCAGCACTCAGGAGGCTGAGGCAGGAGGATCGATGTGGATCTGAGGCCAGCCTGAGCTACTTAGTGAGTTCAGAGCCAGCCTGAACTACATAGTGAGACCGTGTCTCAAAAAAAGAAAAGCTATTACTTAATACAAGAAATTCAATACATACAGATAATATAGGTGTAAGCCCATCACCTAGAAACTAATACAGGGAGCACAAGGTGGCCAGTTTACAAAGGGATTCTCACTTGTCTCATTTCCAGTTGTTTTATTTTACATCAAACAAATATTCTTTTCTTTTTGGTCCAGGACTCAAACTCAGTACCTTGCTCTTGCCAGGCAGGCACTGTGCCCCTGAGCTATATCCCCAGCCTACAAGTATTCTTTTAATAATCAGAAAATATATATTAGCCGGGTGTGGTGGTGCACACCTGTAATCCCAGCACTGGGGAGGCTGAGGCAGGAGGATTGTTGTGAGTTCGAGGCCAGCCTATGCTACAAAGTGAGCTCAAGGCCAGCCTGAACTGCATAGGAAGACCCTGTCTCAAAAAGCAAAAAAAAAAAAAAAAAAAGTAAATATATATTAAACAAACTGTGTCTATACATGGTGCTTCTATTTATACATGCAAATATGAATTTACAGATGTGATCACAGTATACACCACCACGCCCAGCTACATTATACATCTCTTAAAAAATATAACTAACCCTTTTCACCTAACTGTAAACTTGGCCCTGTTTCCATGACAGCCCCTTCATTCCTCAGTGCCCAGACTAGGGGAAGCAGGAAGGGACCCTGGAGAGTTCCGGGGACTGGCGGAGTCCAGCGGCCCTCATCCTGCGGCAGAGGGGGCGACACCCGAGGCTGCACAGCCGGCCTCTGCCCCTGCGCGGGTGAGCAGTCTCCTGGCCATGTCCCAGGGCATCTCTGTACTCGATGCCTCATCAGCTGACCACAAGGTCAGACAGGTTTGTCCCTGTGCGGCCAGTAGGAAAACCAAAGTTCCGGGAGCCAGCCAGGACCTCCGGGTTCAAACAGCCTCCCTGCGCCCTCCCCCGGACGCCCTGATGGATTTTTCCTGTCTGCGGACCCGGTCAGACGCTCCACGGGCCTCGCAGATTTATTTCATGGCCCAGAGTAAGCGCAGTGCAGGCCCTGGTGAGGTGGGCTGGAGCCAGGCAGGGTCTGGGCCCACAGTAGGCACTCAGGAAACGAGAATAAACGGTTGCAGAGCCCCGCTCTGAGCCCTGCCTGCGCCCCCAGAGGCCGACGGCTAGGAGGGGTTGTTATTTGGGAGACTCAGCGGAGAGGGGGAGGGGTGCGGGCGAGGGGAGGGGTGCGGGCGAGAGGCGGCTGCGGGGAGGGCAGCGGGGGCCCTGCCAGCAGAGGTGGGGAGCCCCGAGGAGGGCGCTTTTTCTCCCCGCCTCGCGCCCTGGCTCGAGCGTCCCTATGTCCCTATCGCTTTCTCAGTTGCTTTTCGAAGGCCGCTCCTGGGTTATTTTGGTCGGGAAACCTGATCCCTCGCTGGGTTTATTTTAGCACCTTGGAGAACTCCCAGTGCCGCACCCGATCTCAGGCTGCGCCCAGCCTCATGTCGCCCCCTCGGTCCTCTGCGCTCCCCAGGCGGCGCCTGCATGTGGCTCCTCACCCCGCGCCACCCAAGGTGCTCCAGCCCGGCAGGGGATAGCAGACCAGCCATGGGGATCCTCACTGCTTTTGTGGGGCCTCGGTGCAGGCTGCCACCTCCGTGGAGCCCCACCCTCACACCAGGGACACACACCATCACCCATACACCCACAATGACACACAAACACCTACGCGCAGACACACACCATCACCCACACACGCTCATGCACGCACACAACCAGGACACACGCACTTACAAGGACACACACACCACACTGTTACACACAGCTCTACCCACCCCTGAGATGCAAAACTCACTGTCATGCACACACACACACCTCCCCTCGTGCATCCCGCACAGGCCCCCACGCACCCCATCCCCTGGGACTCAAACCCTGAGCCCCCCAGCTCCATCCGGACACCCCTTCCGATCACAGCCATGCTGGCCACCAGCAGCGATCTTTCCCACACTGGTTGTTTATGTGAATTCACACACTCAGGTCGTTCCTGGAGTGGCCCCTGGCCCTCTGCCCACAGGAAGGTCAGTGCTGTGGCCCGTCTGGCCGGGCTGTGGTCCCTGATCCTCAGAGTGGCCGGCACAGCCCGGGTGTCACATCAGTGCTGCAGGACTAATGGCCTCAAGGGCAACAGGGGGTGGCCAAGTGGCCCAAGCCCAGCAGGCCCTGGAGAAGAGCCTCCTGCCGTCCCCATTGTCTCTCAGAGGGGGGAGATGCTTTGTTGAGCTGGGGGCCAGGCAACTTGAGGTCTAGCTTTGGAGGCCTCCCTCGATGACCCTGCTGACCTCTGTCCCCATCTAAGGGCAGCCTGTGAGACTCACCCGTCTGCCACCCAGTCCCTTCCCCGCAGTGGCGAGAACCCCTGGGGGGACATACTGGGGCCCTGCACGTGGATCTCCCCTCAGCCACCTGCGCTGCTCCGTGGCCATGCCCACCATCTCCCAGGTAGACATTCCAGACCTTGCCATTGGCTTTCTCCCGGGCCCAAACAATTAGGGGGAGAACCCTGTCTCCCAGGACAACAGAATTCCAGCATCTAACATTTCTGTCTGCACAGTGAGGACTTGTCTCTCCTCCGAAATGTTTTTCAGGCCACATGGTAACCCCCTCTTTGGAGGGAGTGAGACCCTGGAGGACCTGCTGTGACCCTGAGTGCAGGTTGGTGCGAGGGGGACGAGGAGCCTGGGCACTGTGCCCGCTGGTCTCTGCACCCTTGGGGACTGCACTGGAATGGTCCAGCTGCTGGGGCTCACAGCCAGGCTGCCCGGAGGAATGGCAGGGACTACGGAGATCAGACTGGAGCTGTGACTCCTAGCCGGGCCTCTCTGCAGGCCAAAGCAGAGTCCTGGGAGGGGTGTGGGTGCAGGTGCGGGACGGGGTCCTCACCCTCGGACCCCCTCTGGGTGGGGCTTCCTGATGGTCAGGCCATCCCAGCGTGGAGCACCCAAGGGCAGCGAGGTCCATAGGAGCTGAGTGTGGGCCTTGGGGCTGGACAGATCGGGCTTGGGAGGCAGACTGTTGAGAAGCCGCTGTCTTCTGTTCCTGGGTTTCTCTGTCTGACCACCCAGGATCAAGGTCAAGGTAAAATACTGCCTTGAGCAGGGCTTTAGCTTTACCACCACTTACCCAGGACCCAGGGACAGGTTACTGTCAGTGCCAGCTGGCCACGAGGGGGACCCTGCCCTCCAAAATCACCAAAATCACGCCTGTAGTCCCAGCACCCAGGAGGCTGAGGCAGGAGGATTGTTGAGAGTTTGAGGCCATCCTGGGCCACAAAGTGAGCTCAAGGCCAGCCTGAACTGCATAGCGAGCCCCTGTCTCAAAAAGAAAAAACAAAACAAAACAAAACAAAATCACCTTCGGGGCTCCACCGCTTAACAAGGCCCTTAGAAAAAACAACAACAATAAAAAAACAAGGCCCTTAGGGCCGTGGCCACTGTCTTTCCACAAAGGGCCCCGCCGCCTTGGCACAAGTGCTCGGAACACCCTTATACTTGGGACTGTGTTCCCCACATGGCATCCCCACCCTCGGGACTAACCTGGCCAGTGGGTTAGGCACTTGGGGTGATGAGGGGCATGAAATGAGACACACACACCGCAGAAGTTGATATCTTCCTTACGTGTAATTGTGATCGGATGGCTGAAGGGAGCCCAGTGGGGCGGGATGTTTTGTGGGGGTCATGAGCTCCTGTCAGGGAGAAGTCACTGTGGGCAAAGAGGCCAAGAGAAACCGCTTCCCAGTAACAGAGGTGTACACGGAGACCAGGTGCAGTCTGGGCTCTGCAGATGGTCCCCAGGGGCCACCCCATGCTATGGGCTTGGCCACCCTGACCGTCTTGGGCTGAGCGCAGGACTAGGAACAAGCCACCATCCGCACAGCGGCACAAGGGTGGCCCCAGAGGGCGACAGGCCCTGACGGCCATGGTCAAGGTGAGGTGTGGCTGGCTGCTTCCTGCACTGTGGCTGAGCCGGTGTTGCCATGAGACAGTCACCCTGGCCATCCCTCTGGTGCACGCTGGGGAGGGAGTGGGTTTGATGGTTTCTGATGTCACAAATCCCTTGCCTGGGGGTGGGGGCAGGAGGCTGCCTAGAAAGTGCCATTGCACTTCACCGCTGTCCCAAGTGCAAAGCGCTCTGATGCTGCACTCAAGGGCTGGGGTCCCCCCTCCACAGACACCTGCCGGGGTGGAGTTGTGGGCAGATCCCCCCCCCCCCGGCTGGATTCCTCCTCTTGGAAGTGACAGCACAACAGGCCTCCCTCCCCAGGGGGCTGATGGCGGATGACGCTTGCACAGCCGTCTCCCACAGGGTGTCCCTAGGGCCAAGTCCCCCCAGACTTCTCTCCCCCATCACCCCAACCTTTCCAGCCCCGGAGCCTTCCAGAGCACCGCCCTGGCAGTCAGGATGCCCCGGGCCCGGAGCCCAGGAAAGCCCCTGGCCAGAGGAGGTCAAAGGGCACAGGGAGCAGCCCCCCGGGACCCGATACAGAGGGAACTACACTACCCAGAATTCCTGGGGCTACTCCAAAAGGAAATGTCGTTTTTGCGCTGAGAAGCTCAGCTCCCCCTGCAGCTGCAGAGAGGGAGGGAGGAGGGGGGCCTGGGGGGAGGGCGCGGGGGG